TTCTAAACTATATGAAATTATTGAAGGTAATATATAATAATATAATATATATATATATATATATATATATATATATATATATATGATTTTGCTAATTTATGTAATTTTTCAAAATATATCAAAGTTTAGTTGTAAAAATATCTTCATATATCATGGATTTTAAGTTTTAAAGATTAAGGGTATTTGAATAATTTTTTATTTTTTTATTTTAAATTAAAAATAAAAATTATTAAAATATCCATTGTTTAAAGTATGTCTTTTTGTATGAATAGGAACTTTTTTGTCAACTAAAATTTAGTACATTTTAAGAGGTTACATAAATTAGCAAACTCCATTAAATTATTTTATTTAAAATTAGAGTTAATTTTATTAATATGACTTAACTTTATTAATACACTTTTTTTTAAATGGTAAAGCAGATTAAAAAATTACTCGTTGATGTAAAATAGGGTTGGACTATATGTACGAGCATTTCAAAGCTTTGAGCTCATTAAAGGAAAGGTTATCACTTTAACCAAAGATCAAATGAGTGTTAAGATAAGATCGTCTAAGCAAACATTTTTGAAGTGTTAATAAAAGCATCAAAGGAAATAGAGTTTAATAAAATAAAATCATTTAGGATAAGTTCGCTAAACGTTGTATGTATAAAAGATATTCTAAACATTGAATTTACTCAAACAGATTATGTATAAATGCTTATACACGTACAATGCCTAAATGCTTAAGAAACGTCTAACACTTTTAGTGCATGTACGAAATAGTTCTCCAATGTTTATTGTGTTATGATCTCTTTTGCGCAGATGAAATAAGTACAAATTATTCAAAAGTTTTGCATCGAATTAGAAGAATGTTAAGAGATAGGAAGACATTCTTGGAATGTTTCCTTCATGCCTTATATCTTTCTCTTCTGTACAAGCAAAATAACATCTGACCTCATAATAAAAGGCTACATCGCTATGCGAAAGTCAATGTTATGAGTAACAAATATCTTTTTAAAGAAGTATATATAAAGAGGATTGAATGAAGAGACGAGAACAAGAATCAAGATATGTTATTGCTTATGCTATTGTTTTCTCTCTCAAGCTTACATCGTCTATACTTTCTATTTGAAAAAGAAAAGTTTCTTTACAAGTTTTCGGATCTTCATTGTATTGATTTTATATCCTCTCGAAGAGAGTAAACATCTGTACTTGTATTTCAAAAACACTTTGTGGTTTTTAGATTCAGAAGTAAACAAAAACAATTGTTAATTTAACTTTGTGCAGTTAAACGATTTAGTCAGTTGGACTAGTGTTATACTAGGAACGATGAAACTCCTTTAACCAGTTGGGTTAGTTTGTAAAACCAAGAGTGTTCAAACTCACTTGTAATCTTTTGAAACATTAGTCGAACTTCTTAAGAGTATTCAAGCGAGAATTGGATGTAGCTCAGTGTTAGATTGAAGCAATATAAAAATAAGTTGTTAAGACAAAATCGTCTATAAGACTAAAATGTCTAAACGCTCTCGTATATTTTCGAAGATTAACAAAAAAACATTAAACAAAATGAGAATATGAAGATGATATCACTAGAATATCGAAATAACTAAAATATAAGTGTAAATAAAAATACTCTAAAAACCACGTAACTTAGGAAAGTATCATCTAAGCATAAATTTGATGTAACACTAAATGATTCTCAAACTTAAGTGTCAATGATAGTCTTGCTACATGCAAAAGATATACTATACAGACAGTAATCAGGTTAAACTCTCATTTAGTAAGAAGGTAAAAATGTCTAGACAATGTTTTTTGAAAGCTTTTGAAAATCTCAATTAATATCCAAAAACTTGTGATAGAAGACAACTTGTTAAACGCACTTGGTGAATAGAGCAAAATCTAAAAGCATTTATATAGAATAGACGATGCCATGAGCTAAACGATCTACTTCACCCAACAATGAAGTCTTCAATCAATGCTTGGTATCCTAGTGAGAAGCACAAATGATAAAATCCTACCTGAATGGTATAAAATGTAAAAAAACACTTTGTTGTTTGACAAAGAATTAAATGTCATAAATGTTCAACGTTCAAAAATAACAAAAAGTTATAAGAGAAAGGACGTATCTGCTACAAGCATATCTACTATACTTTGTGCAGGTTGCCTATTACACGCATCCACTTACTTCATCAAATAAAAATCAGAAGTGGACGTTAGGAACAAAGAAGATATTCACGAAATGTTCTCTCCATTAGAAGTCGTGCCAAAAAGATAGTACAACCTAATTCTATTAAAGTACTCAAAAGGCAAGCATGCTCTGACAAGTTGACTTTAACCAACGACTAATTCATACGACAAAACTGAGAAGACTCAAGAATCAAGACCAAAGCTATATGTAATGAATATCTTATGAGAAATATATAGAAAAAGAGTCGAAGAAAGAATCAAGAAAATAACTTACAAAGAGAAAAGCATCAAATAGAAAAACAAAACAGAAAATATCGTCGAGAGAAAAGCATAAAAGAGCTCAAGAATTTGAAAAACAAATATTTGTGAAGATAAAAAGATCAAGTCGAGAAACAATCTCAAGCTTCATTGTAATATAAGCTTACTATTATAAGAAGAGAAGAGAGAAAAACACTCGCAAGTCTATAGATTGAATTTGACTAAACATATATCCTTTCTATGAGAGTAATCGTCTAAAGATTTGTAAGCAATCTATTTGATTGCACATTTTGAAGAGAATTAAAACACTTGTGGATTAACTTAGTTGAGTTAATGGATTACTAGGCAACATATCAGGTTGATACCAGGATTTTCTAGTGGAAACCAAGAGTGGATGGAACTCAAACTAGTCACGGTAACAAAGGTTATTCGTTGACTAGGGACACAAGGAGTGGTGAAAAGTACTACGCAACTAGGAGTGGGTGAAACTCAAACTAGTAGGGTAACAAAGATTATTCTTTGACTAGGGATACTAGGAGTGGGTGAAACTCAACTAGTCAGGGTAATAGGGGTTACTCGTTGACTAAGGATACCATGAGTAGTGACAATACTTAGTTGTAATCTTGTTGAAGATTATAGTGGAACCCTCTAATGTGTTTAGATGAGACTAGACGGAGCTCGGTGGAGTGAACTAGTATAAAAATGAATGTGTGCTATTGTTTGTTCTCTTTAACGCTCTCTTACAAAATCTGATGTTGCACTTACTTTTAATATAAACGCTTCCTACATTAAAAAATTTGGTGTTAAAAAGGAAGTTTTACTAAAACTTTAATAAAATATTTTAACAATTGAAAAGCACTCAAAAAGATTTTATTGTTTTCAAAAGGCGAGCATCTAGCTATTTGCGTATAAAGTCTTTCAATCATTGACTAAAGTTCTATTATATTGTATGCAAAAAGTTTTCCATTAACATTATTCAACTGCTCCTTCTAGTGTTTTTCAAGTACTTTAGTTGGTATCAGAGCTAACCTTGCAGGGTTAGTTCTTAACATGACTCGAGGAAAAGATCTTGTGGCATGGAAAACGAAGGCCACTGTTAGCAAAATGATGAAGATGAAGTTTTGATGATGCCCAAATCAAGTCAAGAACAACCAAGATTCATGAAGAATTATTTTGAAGACTTGTATCATAGCCCATAGCTTTTGTAATAATTTTATTTTGATGTTTAGAACTTAAGAAATTAGTGGTTTTTGATTTTGTATAAAAAAGATATGTAAAAATGAATTTAGAGTAAAAAACGTACAAGGTTAATCGATTAATCAAGGGAGTTAATCGATTAACGTTAATCGATTAACTAAAGGAGTTAATCGATTAACCAGGATGACCGTTGGATTTTTAGTTGTTTTCTAGCCGTTGGACTATCTGTTGGGGAGTTAATCGATTAACCACTTAAGTTAATTGATTAACATTGTCAGAAAGACTAAAAACGAAAAATGGAAGAGTCTTTTCTTGAGTCTACAAATAGAATCTCATTTTCTCTCAACAACAACTCTTCCCTTGTGCTCTATAACTCAGAAACTCTTGAGAATTGTGAGCTCTTATTCGGCTAAAGAAACTCTTGTCTATGGAGCTGGTGAAGTGCTGCTACGGTGACAGAGGAATAATTGGTTCATCCTTGGTGTGTCTAAGGAAGTGTCCGGAAGAGGAAGTCATCCTTCGTGAAGTATTCGGAGGAAGTGTTCATCCTTTATGAAGACTCAAAGGAGGTGTAGGTTCATCTCATGTGGCATCAAGAAAGGTGTCTTCTAAACTCGTACAAATTGTACTGTGTGATTGTAATTTGTAATTGTTTTGTGATTAGTGAACTATTTATCTTGTTTTGGGATAAGCGACTTGACGTAAGATAGGTAAGATTCGAACCAGGATAAAATCATCTGTGCAAATTTCTTTCAACCTTACTCTCTTTACTCGTTATTATTAATTGCTAAGTAAGTTTAATTGAGTAGAAAATTTAAAAGGCACACATTTTTATTAAGAACCAATTCCACCCCCCTCTTGGTTTGTTGTTCCACGCTAACCATTTCGCTGCAGCTGCTATGACAACTATGTCGTTAACCGTCCTCCTTTATTCAAAGGAGAGAAGTTCGACTATTGGAAACAAAGAATGATCACATTCTTTGAATCATGTCATATTGACACTAAGAATTTTCATTGATTTAGGGTTACTATTTTCATGGATTTTGTTGTTATTGTTTGAGTTCTATGAATGTGGTGATTATATACCTCTGTTGTCTGGAGCAATGAGTGTTAATTCACGTTCCTTTTCGATTAACACATCATGTTATTAAGCAGGGCTTTTTCTATTCTGTTATGCACTAGTGCAATGAAGAGAAAGGACAACGGTTATTTTCGCTGATAGGGGCACGGTTTTTCAAACGAGGGCATATTCAGACGAGGTAAAAAGTGATAGATTATGCCTCGGTCATAACGAAGCCTAAAAGGTAGGATTATGTTCGGTTCAAAATTAACTGAAGCAGAGAACATTTTTTATTTTTAAAATTTATGCCTTTGTTCCTGATGAACCGAGGTCGTTTCCCCCCTCTCTTGTACCTCCATTTCATCTCACTCTCCCATGCCAAAAATCAGTTCTCCGGCCAATCGGTCCCTTCCCTCGCCATCGCCGCCATGCCCATCCTCCGTCATCTCCACCTGGCCGCAACTTTTTTCCGGCCAGATCCCTCCCAGTATGGCACCTGGCAGCACCTAACGAGCTCATGGGAAACATCCCCGAAGCTTGGAAACCTCACCGCACTTGGAAACATCCTTCGTCATCTCCACCTTGGCGGAATCCCGTCGGAGATTGGAAACTTGTCCCAGCTTTTCCGTTTCAACGCTGCGTATTGCGGACTCTCCGGCGATATTCCGGCTGACCTCGGAAGGCTTCAGAATATGGACACGCTCTTTCTTCAGGTGAATGCGCTCTCCAGCTGGGGAACGTGAAGAGTCTCATGTCGATGGATCTGTCCAAACAACGTTCTATCCGGCGAGGTTCCGACGAGTTGTGCGGAGCTCAAGAATCTAACTTTGCTGAACCCTAACGTGTAGGAGTCAGCCGTCAGCTCCAACTCCTCCTTCTTCATTTCTGAAAATGAAGTATATTAGTGAGATTATTATTAATGAGTGAAGCATGTGCTTGGTGAAGTAGCATGTTATTTTTAGGGTTAGGAGTGGAAGAAGAAAAGTGGAGGGAAGGAAGAAGGTGGGGATTGACAGAACATGATGTGACAGGACAAGGAAAAATGGGATGGGATGGGATGTGACACAATTGCACAGATTCATGCCATTAATGGCCTCGGTTATGTAATGACCGAGGCATAAACTTCTTTTGACACCGGTTCTGTATAGAACCGAAGCACTAAATTACGTGTCAGGCCAAAACTCAGTTTTGCAGAGACGCATGTGACTTTTTCAGAAAGTATCAGACACCGGTTATGATTTGAACTGAGGTAAGATGCCCTATATGCTTCGGATATTCTTAAACCGGTGCATATAAGTTTGTGAAAATTACAAGATTGCCATTGTTTTCAGATAGGCTTCGGTTTTTCTTTGACCGAAGCCTATTAGGCGAATTCAAAAGCATATTTTTTACTAGTGATGGGTACCTCATTGCACGGTTAGTGTGGCTCCACTTAAAGTGGATTATGCAGTTCTTGGCTTACATTGTAATATGTTTTATTTTAATAAAATTTTCTGTGAGTGTTGTTTATTTTCTGATCATTATCTATTCATTTTTATTTATTGCTTATTTATATCTTTATTGATTCTCGTTTACTAGTTTATTTGCTTTTGCACAATATTTTTTCGAATGTGTTCACTTACAACATGCAAAAGATAAAAACAAAAAACTATAGAACACACAAGACTTAAAACTAAAAGCTAAACTAAAGAATGAACTAAAACACAAGACTTAGAGGCTAAACCTCAAATAGACAAAAACTAGAACATGAACCCCAAACATAGAAATCATAAGAAAACACTTAGGTCCTAGGAAATAGAAAAACATTTAGGCTAAAACACCCAGACGCATAACTAGATGATGTATTGTCTAAAAGCGTCCAAGAGAGATTGAGTTAAACACTAAATGCTTAAAATACCTGGATTAGGTAATTGGCTTCTCTCGAAAACAAAAACAGGTCGAGACAATGTCTTCGACAAAAACATTAAAAGACTTAATTATTAAAAACACATAAGAAAGCCTAAGGAAGTTAAACGCTATCTGTCTAAAAAGAGAGAAAAGTCAAAGAAGTGTTTCCTTGATCAAACGATACCATGAGCTAAACAAACACCTTCTTTTGATGAAGTATTTATATACGCTTGATATCTTTAGAAAAAGAACTTAATTGTAAAATGCTACCTAACAGTAGGAAATCAAAAAGTACTTTGTTATTCTGAGCAAACATTAAATGACATTAAATGCTCAACGTTTAAAAACAACGAAAGTGATAAGAAAAGTATTATCTACTGCATGCACAATATACTCTAATTTTGCAAATAAGCTATTCTACATGCATCCAAAGTGCTACATATTAATTATGAAAATGTGGTAGTTAGAGACAAAGGAGATAATCACGAAATGTTCCTCTCTTGAAGTAAAGTCTAAAAAGATCGTACATCTTATTTCAAGCAAAGGACTGAAAAAACATGCCTGCTTTGACAAAGTTGACTTACACAACGACTACTATGAAAAGAAGAAAGAGAAAACATAAGTATCAAGGCTACAAACTACAAACTAAGTCTAACGGACAAATATTCATGAAACCTATAAATATAAGATCTCTCAAGAAGAAAATCAAGAGGATAGCCAAAGAGCACAAAGAAAAGCTTACAAAAACATATCCAACCTAAAGAGAAAAAGAGAGAAAAGAGCTCAAAGAAAAGAATACATCTGAGCTTAGAAAAGGAGAAGAGAAGAGAAAAAAAAGAAAGAGATACTCTCTAGCTTAAGCATCAAATTCGCTCATAGCGAGATTTAGTCTGAACTACTTGTAAGCAATTGTTGATTGTATTGAGGGTATTAATTGCTTTTTGAAGAAGTTTATGACCTCCACAAATTATGATTAATTTTTCACCATTATAACTTCCCTAGAATACTTAAATGTCCCTCAAACCTTCCCTCATAACACTCAAAATTTTCCCACTTTTCCCTTGTATTTCCCACTCTAATTGCATTTTAAGGTCAAGTATTTGTCTTATTCTAAGACTTTTCCTAGCTCACTCTCTTGCAAGATTGGTCGAACCTACTTCAAGACTTTATTCTAAGAGTATTTGTCATAACACTTCCTTAAAAAATTCAAGTGTTCTTCAAAGCTACTTTAGGATTCCTCATCAAGCTCCATAAATAGGGTTTCATCATTTAGTATCAAGAGTAAAGGTTGCTTTCCTTGGAGGTCTTCAAGGGATAAGTTCTATTGACCCCTTTCATGATTTTTTCTTGTCTCATCTATCCTACCATGTTTGTATTATGTTTGATCCATGTATGTGTGCCATGAGTTTCTAAATTTTGGTTCAAATCACTTGTTTTTCTTAAGTCATCCATGTATGTGGTGTAGGAATTCCATTTTTTTCTTTTGCATATGTTGGGTATGTGTAGTTGTTTTTGGTCATTTCCATTGAATGTCATACGAGTTTAGAGTCTTTTATTTGATTTTATGATCCTATTGTTTTTTCTAATGTCTTGTTGATTCCAAATTGTCATCACTTCAATGTTTTACCATTTTATTTTCATTTTACAAAACACCAAAGCTTGAAAACCCATGATTAGATGCGTCAATTGAGTGTGTTTTTCATTTGGGTATGTTATCTTGATTTTCTAAGAGTTAGGGTTCCATAAAGTCTTTTTGAAATTGTCAACAAATTACTTAATTCCTTAAGAGCTTCTATAAATTTTGATTGCTTGAGCCTTGGATAATGGGTATGAAATTGCAAAATAATATGTTGGTTGTTGTTGTATCAAGTTGATATAAGAAAAAAAATTATTCCTATCTACTAAAGTTAAAGAAAAGAAGAAAAGAAAATGAGCAAAAGAAGTGAAAAAAAGAGATAAAAGATAAAGTAACAACAACTAAAAACCCATTTTTAGTTTGGATATTGGTCTTATATGTGAACCATTTTTTGTTATCTTAAGTTTCATTCTTCTTGGCTAAGATCATCACATCTTTTTACTTTTAGTTTGTTTGGTTTTATTCATCCATTCTAATGCCTTTCATAGGAATTTCCTTTTGAAGTGCTTACTTGTTTTTGTGCTTTTATTTTAGTCTATCTTTCTTGGCTTCTATACATCTTGTCAATTAATCTTTATATGATTTTAGCCTTTCAAATTATGTATTTATTGATTTCTTTTCTTGGCCTCTTGAATGGTTCATACAACTACGAATTTTGCTTCTTGTGAAGTGATTGACTAACCTTTCAAGTAACATCTTAAGGGTGAAAAGAAGCTAGAAGAAGTACTCTTAATTGGCTTGGAAAAGGGATATGACAAGGAGGCATTTATAGTGACATAAAGAGATGACAAAACTTGAAGAAACAAGAGCAGGCTCACAACAGGTACATATTTTCTTTTAAATATCACAACTTTTCTTGTAATTTGGTTCATTTGCCTTGTAATTTTGGTTTGTAGTTTTGTTTCATTTCTTTCCTTACTTGGTGTCTTGGGAAAATACCCCTTGGTGCAATCTCATCTCCACAGGTAAATTGTTGTAATAGTCTTAATTCCACTTTAGAAGTGAAGGTGCGTCAAGGAGCTCCAAAGTGTCACTTGCACTTTCACCTAGGGCTGTTAGTTGGCTTACATCTTTACATTTCATATATTCCTTGATTTTGTTTCCTGTTATAGGTCTTCGTGATATATAGGTAATTTTGTAGCATTTTAGTTAAATCTTTGTTTGGTTTAGGTGCATTTTTGCATTGCATTTGATAAAATTGTTTTAGAAGTTTTTCACCAAGAAGCTTAGGTAAAGGTAATTGATAGAAATCTCCTAGCTAGGTATGGATAAAGCTAGAATGATATAATGAAGATAATCCCTTGAAGATATATGGTGAAGAAATGTGGTGGATCAACAAGGATAGGGTTGGAAATGCGGAAGCTATGGTGTTTGTAAGGCTAAAAGCGCATGGCCATATGGTGGTTAAATGGTTGTGATGTGCTATTTGAAGGCTCAAAGAGAGGTTAGGCTAACTATAAGAGGAAAGTGACTAGAGGAGCCTTATGGGTTGTTCTAGTGTTGATCTTAAGAAGAGTATTATGGCCATAAATGGGAAATATAACATTATTCAACATCAAAGCTGATTAGAATAGAGGAGACACAAAAAAATGAGGCCTTCTAAGGAGTGAACAAGTGTTCACAAATCCTCTTCAATATGGGAGGACATGTGGCGACTCATATGTTAAAACAAAATCGTCTATTAGACTTATATGTCTAAACGTTCTCTTGTTTTAAAGTTTAATCAAATAACATTAAATGGGACAAAAATCTAAAAATGCTTAACTAGAAGAATAGGATAGGCAGAAGCATAAATGCTAGGAACAAAATCCCCAATTATCCAACAACATAGGAAAGTCCTAGGAAAACACTTAGGATTATATGAAACAAAAAACAACTAGGTTAAAGCTTCTAAAGGCTATGCTAAACGACTTACAAGTCAAAACATCTTAGGGAGTTATGCTAAACACATACTTTCCACATGGTTTGGATGTCTACCTTAAGGAAAAACCTATACTAATTAGGGCTTAATACAAGCCTTAAACAAACCTACCTATTTGGCCAAAATATATGGCCTAAAAAAACCTACACTACTTGGCCAATATACATGGCCTAAAGAAACCTATACAACTCCAAGTTATGCTCCATGATGGCTCTAAAGGTGGTCCAAAAAGTAGAGTTTAGACCATCTTCATGGATAACTTCAACTGTTCTTGTAGATGCTTGACAATGGCTAGGGGG